GTCGCCTCACCGCACAGGCTCCATAGGAAATGAATGGAGAGCGAGCGACGTCGCCTCCCGCGTGTCGAGCCCTTAACTAAAATAAATTATAGTAATTAAAGTAGAAAACAGGGGTTTGGGTTTAAGAGCTGAATGAACCATTTGAAGGGCCGGATGTTGAAAAGCCCTGGACTAGACCGTCCAAATTCACAGCCATGTTTTTCAGGTTTTAACAGTCGATTAAAGAACTCGGCCCACTTAGACCTGCATTTGGACACAGCCATAAAAAGGAAGCTAAGTGGTGGCCGGCGTTGTCCCCACCGTCTCTGAAAGCTGCAGAACTTACAAGTCGCTGTGTTCTTCTTAGGTAAACAAACTGTGAAAGGCGGCTCCGCGGGGCTTCACGGTGTTTTCTGCAGCACACAGATTTAGTCGTTTTGCTTACGAGCGCGCTCCACAGGGCACCTTTAACTCCTCCGTTCAGCTGTGAAGATCTGAACCGAGGCGCCGCCCTCTCAATAACAACGAAGCCATATTGGAGGGATCGGCGTCGAGCCATAGCGTCGCCTCGCCGCGTTCAGGGCAGCCCACGCGCTTCCACCGGAGGGTCCGGGTTTCAGGAGGGTGACCGAACTGTTGATACATTCCTGAACGCCCCTCAGACCGCATTACGTTTCCGCCCTGCCTCCTCTTCCTCAGTGCAACCTGTGCTCGGTCATACAATGAAAGAGTTATGTCGTTGAAGCGTAGCAAGCGGACGCCGCGCCCGCAGGACGGCGTCTGAGACCGGACCTCCTGCCGGGAAGCTCAGAACCACGTGACACAAAAAGCCAATCAGGAATTTGCCAAATCAAGGCCATAACTCTTCCTTTCTGTGGCTCTTCTTTTCTACCCTGAGTGCATGTCACCTGAATGTGCAGTAATGTAGTAACTAGGCCCTGATGCTACTCTTCAGTAGACTTTGTGCTTTTCTTTTCTTTCTTTTCTAGTATTCCTATGAAGGAGACAGATTCAACATTATATAAATATCTATGACTGGAATATAAGAATGAACTTTTATGATGATGTTTGAAAATATTAATTCTTAATGTATGTTTCTGTAAAACTGCAGGGATGCAAGTCTGAGTTCTGGTCCTTAAAGAATAACTTGTTGAAAATCTAGATGATGTAGAGCGATGCAATTCAATAAAACTGTTAAAGTTCTGAACTGATGTTGGGTTTTCTTTGAAAATGAGATGAAGAAATGTTTCCAACAAACCGGTGCTGGTGTTTCTGGTAATAAATGTTCAACAAATGGGCTCTGTGTAGCCAAAACATGCACACACACACAGGTTTGTATTTCTATCCTTATTAGGACCGTTCATTAACTTCCATTCATTTCCAGTAATTTCTACAGCCTAACCCTGACCTCCAACCCTAAGGCTAACCTCACCTGACCCTAAAACTAACCTAAACTCAATTCACACGTTAAACCACTAAACTGCTCCGGGGGCCACAGTTACTGCAGACCAACAGCTGAGGAGCCGAACATCCAGCAATTAAAGTCATTATGTAAACAAACCAAGTATTACAAAGATCTGTTACCTTTGAATTAGTTTATTCTGCTGTGTTTAATCATGAATACAACATACAGAACCCTATAAATAGTAGTGATAATAAAATATCAAAAACAAAAATAGCACATTATGCCTCCTATTTAACACAAATATCCTTTTGACATCTGACTTGACAAATTTTTAAACCAATTTTATTTTCACTTTCATAGTTTTATCTTCAACTGATTGTAATTTTAACCATCATGTATTCATTGAAATGTCTTTCATCAGCCTCTAGACAAGTTTCTGTATGTTTAACTAAAACAACTTATAGTAATTAAAGTAGAAAACTGGGGTTTGGGTTTAAGAGATGGATGAACCAATTGGCGGGCCGAACTTTGGTCACTCGCGGGCCAGATGTGGCCCATGGGCCACCAGTTGAATAGCCCTGCCTTAGTCCTGAACAGAACCCCCAAACCAAAAATGGAGTTCCACCATATTAGGACGGGTCTTTGGTCCCCATTAGGACAACTGGTCTTGACAAGGTAGGTGTGTATGCCAGAAACGGTCCTAAATAGGTAACAAAAACAAGTTCTCTCTCTCTCACACACACACACATTTTTATATCCTTGTGGGGCCCATCCATTGACTTCCATTCATTTTTTGGTAATTTTATATCCTAACCCTGACCACAAACCCTAAGGCTAACCTCACAGGTACCTTCCTGACCCTAAAACTAACCTAAACTCAATTCACACCTTGGTCCTAAACCCAACCCTCACACCCAAAATCAGCCTCTGAAGTTGTGGTGCCCAGGCTTTGGGCCCCACAAGGAGCACCCGGACCCCACGAGGCTGCGTCTTCCTTAAAACTGGGCCCCACAATGTAGGAAAACTTTTCTTGTTAACTGTGGAGATGAAATGTGCACGGTTGCTCGCTCCTAAGTCCATCTTGCTAATTTAACTGTCAGGTTTTTCTCTGGGAGTACTGCAGATTGTTTCAGCTGCATGAGGAAGCTCACGGTACGGCAGGCCAGTTTTACATATAATCGGCTTCACCGCAGTTGCATTCAAGGTATCTGGAATTGGTTTTATGACCACACATCTTAGTTATTTAAGTGAGAGATACATA